CCAACAAAACAAAACCCGGAGGTTTCAAAAGACGAGATGTCACATCACGACACGTCGTTTGCTGCCAATACCAACACCCAGTTCCCGAGTCACTCTCATATAAACGGATCTAGGGTTCTTAGAAAGCTTTTTGGACGTTATTGAGTTCACTATAACTATTACATTGCACACATTTGGCCAACTAACAGTGCAGAAATAGTATTCATACAGACGGAACAAGGGACACTTTGAGATGACAGTTGGAGAAGAAGGAAAGGCTAATCAGTAAGTGGGATCAGTGGTATGAAATGTGAGAGTTAAGTTCACCGATAGCAAGATAAACTCTGTAATGTATTAAGTTTTTCTTTTTGATTGTTAAAAAGATATTTTCTGTTTGTTTTTGTTTGTTTTTGTTCTTTTACACATTGCTTGATTCGACAACGGAATTAGAGCACTGGCCTCAGTTGGTATTATAGTGAGCGGAGATGCCGACAACAATAATCTGACTAAATATGGCGAAATTATCATTTATTTTGAATATTTAGAATGGTTTTCCTATCCATTTTATTTTCTTTTGATTTCTTTTGTTTTCTCCCAGGAGAGGGGGGGGGGTCATTATTCGTAAATAAAGTGACTATGAAATCAAAGTTAAACTTTTCATGCCCTTTCATGCAATACAAACGAGCAACAGAACTAAGAAATCACAAGTACTATCATGAATTCTGCACATGACAGAACAAGTAAAGAAGGTGTTTTACAATCACAACTCCATGTCGGACAGACACTTTGACGTATTTCTTTTTAAATTACAAAACACAAAACACAGCGTGCTGCACCATCTGTCATGCGTTTCCACCTCTGCGGCCCAGAAGCACATAAACGAGAGCTGGGATCTTTATGCCGTGAGGTTGCGTCAGGCTCGACGTCAGACGCACAAACGTTAATTTTCCATTTATTGGATTTATTTAATCTCTACACCCGAGCCTGCGTCTTGAGAGGAGGTGTGCCCCTCGATGGGCAGATTAGGAGAATTCTATTTTCTTTTCGAGTTGAAGAGATGCAGAGGAAGCCACAACGGTCATTTAGTGCAAGGACAAGAAGCAAGTTAAAATGGAGGCAACAAAAAATGGAATAATAGGCATGAAAGTAAACATGACAATCTGCAACCGTTCACAGGAACTGTTGCCTTCCAGTTTAGTCATCCCTGGTATTCTTAAATCTTCAAAAAGTACCAAGGTATTGGATGGACATCTCTATAAAAATTGTATTGTTTTCTATTGTTATGGTGCTATACCTCAAACTCTAACGTCCATTGCTTGTTGGACGGACAAAAGTGTGGAGAATCTTGAACCCCTCTACCCCCCCCCCCAACCCCTCCCCCACCCAAATCAAATATAAAATCAAGACCTTCCCCGCCACGATCGAGCCTTGGCCATCCGCACCGTAGCTGATCATCATGCCAGCCATGTAATTATCGGCGCGACCGTTCAACGTTCGTAAATAAGAATATGATGAAAAGCAATACAATTTAACTCTTCCGTTTCCACTCCCCCTAACAATATTTTAAAGCAATATCGCGTTATTCTTATATTCTGTTTTGTACTCAGCATTTTACCTACTTGTGTTCAAAATATCATTCTCGATACACTGTTTCCGGACATACGTCAAAACAGACGTCATACCTTAACCCAAATTCCATTAGTTTTAACACCGTGGATCAGTGTTTTAAAAACATTGCTCGGGACCAGCATTCTGAAATTAAAATTTATTTTTTGTAAGATAAGGAAAAGTTGGGGGTGGGATATAATTAAAATTGAATAGCTTCCTGCATTCGTATAATTCTTAAAGATTACTCAAGAAGTACATTGCCAGTCTTTGTTGTATATTAGTAAACTAGATTGCGGATAACTTTAACAGGATTCTCAAGGGACGTGTTCTTGAACTTGAGTAGTTTGAAAATATTTCATTCACGTCACTTTCTTGGCCTTATACTATCGGGAAGGAAATGAACGTTGAATCACATATGATAATTATATCTCATAGAACACCTTGCAGGCTGGCCGAAAGAGGCTCTAAAACTACACTAAACATAATTTCACTTATAAACATCAGTAACTGCTTAAAGGGAAAACTATGACACGTTGACGTAATTAACTCTGGAAGACGTAGAACTTTCGTCTAATGTGTTATATTGTTTGCTTTAATAAATGTTTTACGGCATTTGCAATACAATAAGGTGAGAGGTGTTGCAAGAGAGTAAAATACACAAAAAGAAGGATGGGAGATAATGGCGATAGATATTTGATAGGAATGAAGGAGAAAACCACACCAGAGCACTACCCAAACACCCGCCGTTGTATTGTAACTCTTCCCATTCGATGCAAAACACGATAGTGTTATTTCCATAATGGGGAAGACAAAATATTATGCAATCGAAATTTTCGTGTATGCTGCGGTGGATTAAACCCAGCCAAAGCAGGCCCAGGTTGACAGTGCAACCGCAGATCGCCTCCAAAGCAATATAATTTATAACAATGATGCTCGTTTGTTTGAGAAAAGAGAACCACTTTGTGCAGGAGAAAAGCAGGCAAGACAAACAGAAACAATAGTGGGACAGACAAGATGTCAGACCAGAATAATCACCCTGGAACCATCTAAAGGTGTGTAACATATCTGCATAAGTAGCAGCACACATACAACGAGCGGCTAAACGAAACTGGTAAACCTAAACGAAACAGTTAAATCTATACGAGAACTAAGTGACCAAATAATGAACTGAACGTCATATGGGTCATCTGCTATCATCATAACGAAGATTAGCGCAAAAAAATAGCATAAACCATATAAACCCCTCCCCCCAAAAAAGAAAACGGGAATAAAAAACAATATAAAAAAACATAAAGAAAGAACGAAATAGATAAATAAAAATATAAAATTAATACATTCTTGTTTTAAAATGATATAAACTGAAAAAAATAAGATAAAATAAAGTAAATAAAATAAAATTTAAAAACCTCATAAATTTCCTTTTCAAACGCAAAAAAGCGCCGCCAGTATAAATACTTCAAACATTTCCCAAATTGTACACTTCCATACTACTGTTCGGTAATTAGGCCAATCTGTGAAACGTACTCTTCCGTAACGTGAAAAAAAAGAAGCATACTATGTATAGCCATTCTCCTCTCTATCATCAATGCGTCCGTTTGACGAAGAGCCGGAGAAAACTCCCAGCATGAGGGTGGTCTCGGTAAAGTCATCGCCAAAGTAAACCTCCACCTCTGTGACATGACAGCGGCAGAGCCCTTTTCTGAGGGGCTAGAGCCCCCAAACACAAAGTCCTAGTCCACTAGTCCATCAAATGAGGCTTATGCCAGGATTTAGCCTCTGGCTTGGGTTACAGGTCTATACCCAATTCCATTAGGGTCTCCACCACTTCGGCTTTTGGGAGAACTGTTGCGAACTCCGAACGAGAGATAGACTCTTCACTCTCTCCCCCCTCCCCCACCCCCAATCACCTCCCCGATATCCTATAACCTGGCGTTGTTCTGCAAACAAAGACGTGTTTGTATGTGTGTGTGTGTGTGTGTGTGTGTGTGTGTGTGTGTGTGTGTGTGTGTGTGTGTGTGTGTGTGTGTGTGTGTGAAGAGACAGAGAGAGAGAGAGAGAGAGAGAGAGAGAGAGAGAGAGAGAGTGTGTGCCTGTGCGCGCGCGCGTGTGTGTGTGTGTGTGTGTGTGTGTGTGTGTGTGTGTGTGTGTGTGTGTGTGTGTGTGTGTGTGTGTGTGTGTGTGTGTGTGTGTGTGTGTGTGTGTGTGTGTGTGTGTGTGTGTGCATCTGTGTGCGTGTGAGTGTGTGTGTGAGCAAGTGTTTGCTTGTTTTATATAATGTTCTTTGATGAAGGCGTTTTCACGCCCTCATAGACACATTTCAGATCATTTTATATATGGCTACAACCCTGCCTGTCGGGGCCAACCCGCCTGAGAGGGATACAATGTCCCTACAGAGGGACCAAAATACTTGATAAATATTTTCCTAACTCGAGAATTGAACTCGGGTCTTCTGCGTGCGACGGCAAAGCACCTATCCTATACATCTCAGACGTTTGTATAAAATCTAAAGTAGACCAAGTTTTCTTCATTACGTTGACTGAAAACAGGTAACTTATAAGATCTAATAAGTATTTTAAATTTTGTATTACAGAAAGCCTTGCTAAGAGACAAGTAAGACCAGTTTTGTTTCACAAGACAGTAGTGATTGTGCTTGTTTTGTTCTACTTTTTGAGCGCTCGGTGGACAGTGCGTGTTGCTAATCAGGCCATAGCGTTCCAGAAAAAGCCACTATTAGTGAAGGCTGTGAAGCGATAGATGTTCAAAAAAGGAAAGAATAAAAATGCAAAAACAGAGGAGATAATACAATAAAGTAAAAATAAGGTGTAGATTATATCACGTCTTAGCTCAGCTATTGATGCGTTTTGGTGTACAGTTTGTCTGTTTGTTTTTCTGCAACCACACTGTGCAGTATACAAGAAGATACAGCATTGGTTTAACCCTGCTCTCTACACAGTTTTCTTATATTAGAGGCGTGACTTCAGACCCAAAGTCTGTCTCCGATACGATTGATCCAGAAAAAAGAAGAGTCAAGTCTAATCCTCTCCTTCACCTGCGCTCCTCCCCCCCTCAACCCCCAAACCCTCTTCCATATATTTAGCAACGCTTCTTTCGACATGCTTCTTTCTAAAATTGTCAAATGCGTACTCAAGTATTGTACTACCCTAGCCAAAAGTGTGCCCTCTGCAGAATGTATCGCCCTCTAACAACATAAAAATACACAATACTTTCCCACAACCCCACAGAGTCACAATCAGTCGTCTGGATAAGTCGAAGTACAAGACGGGAATGAGAAAATAAATAGAAAGATAGAAGCAATACAGGGAAAGAAAAGTTGAACCCACCTCTCGTATCATTCAACTACCATCAGATGTTGTGTTACTTAGCTAAGGGAAAATATCAAAGTGTTGTCTTACCTGTCATGACTCTAAGAGACTCCAGATCCTGACCCTTGTTGTCCCCAAGAAGGTAGCTGAGCTCCACTCCGGGCAGTACCTCCGAGTTGTTGTTGACCATATTAATGGCGTGCGTCATTGCTCCAGAAATCTTACGGCCCTCCCCCAACTCTGTGTTACCCCCGGGAATGGTCATGGTAGCGATGTACCCAAGTAGGAGATGCGTTGTGTCGTCGGTCTGATTTCCGTTGGAAACAGTCATATTCGTGGAAGATGACGATAATGACGATGATGAAGATGAAGACGATGTCGGAGAAGCGGTCGGTACTCCAGTAGGGGGACCCGCCGATGAGGAAGAAGAAGTGGTAGATGCACCGACTGATATCACAGCTGTTATTAATGTTGAGAAGTATACAAATGCAACCAGGCTGTCACCCATTTGCATTATTACTGCTGGAGTTCGTTTGTTGCTGGGCGTATTTGACGCAAAGAGAGTATGTAAGCCATGGGCTTCGTTTCTCACCCTGTAGCCTCCCATTGTTTGTAATAAATTAGCTAAGAGATTCTGGGTCCATCAAGTTAGATCCCACAGTAGAAACTTCTTGACTTGCACAGAAACAGAGTTGGGTGGTCGCATATGTCCAGCATACATGCACTTTGTTTCATTCATTGCGATCAAGAGTTGGTATACTGGACAGAATCAAGAAAATCCGTTCTGTCAGGAACCTCGTCGTTCTGTCGTACCTCAGCAGTCATCTTTTTATTCACAGTAAATAAAAAAAAACCAGAAATTAGATTCCTAATCTGGACAAAAAACATAAAACAGCATTTTGTTCCACATTTGGTGGATTTCCCCCCATTAACCCCAAACAAGGCTCACTTTACGTCAGCGATAAGAAGCGGGAATCAAGACAGACGTGACCACTTGCAGGTATGCAACAACGGATAATGCACATTGGAAAACAGAAAATGACAAATCATCAACATTTGTCTAGAAAGGCGATACGATCAATTCAAGGAAGTGGATGCTCGGGATGGAATATGAGTAAACATAACTTTTTTATTATCTTTCAGGGCAAATTTAACTATCCAGAGATAAAGGCGTTTTGTTTACAGAACCAAGAGTGAATATGACGTTCGTTTTAAAAGTGTTTGCGTGAGAGTAGGTGGATCATGGAATTTCGACAAGTACATTAGGGGGAATATGTGCGGCGAATAGAAAGGAGGCAAAATGAGTGGATGCAGCAGAGTAATAAAGGAAGACAGAAAGAATAGAGGTAGGAAGCGAAAAGAGAAAGAAATATGGTTTTAAATAAATAACAAGCAAATAAAACTCAACAGAAACGTGAACATGAAGGACTCACACGCACACACACGCACACACGAGCATACACACACATACACACACACATGCACACAAACGCATACACACACATACACACACATACACACACATACAGGCATACACACACGGAGAGAGAGAGAGAGAGAGAGAGAGGGGGGGGGAGGAAACGTAAAGAGAGTGAGCGAGCGAGAGAGACAGACAGAAACAGAGAGACAGAGAGAGATTGAAAGCGAGGGAGACAGATAGAATGAGAGCTAGCAGCCTTGGTTTAAATAAAAGGGATAAAAAGAGACCCATTGACACGATAACGACATTAAGTGCAGGAAAAAGAAACAACCAGTTGAGCCCTCTAACCACCCTCAAAATTAGAGGATGTGTCAAATTATTTAGCTTCAGTTGTTTGTTGTTGGTTTTTTTGAAATACTAGATTCTAGATTCTAGATAACGCAAACACTATTCTTCGTCCCAGGTTCATACGAGTATGTTTGACTATAATATTTGAAATGCAAAGCCGCTGACACGTCATTTCAAAGCCGAACATTGCCGGCTCTGAAAAATCAGCGTATTCTTGAGACAACGTAGGGGTTTGAAAAAGAAGTTGTAAAGATACGGAAGCACTACTTCATTGTTGTATATAAGCAGTAGAGGTCTAATCGTGGGTTTGGTGAAAATGTTACAATGGTACTTACTTACATAGCGTCTATTCCAGCCTTACGAATACATCCATTTGAATTGAACATGGATAAGGGAAATAGTAAGAAACTAGAACTATATTTCACAAAAATGCTGAAAAAAGCCATACTTGTCCATACAACACACATTTAATTTAAAGAATTAGATAAGATTCAATGGTGTGAAGATAATATAGATCTAGAATCTAGACGAAGTACCGCTATGGTTTCTCATATTATTTCTCGATAGTATATGATATAAAAGAACTATAGAACACGTTAAATATTTCACGGTGACAAAGGAAGGCACATTCCACAACACAATGCAAGAATGTTTTTAAATATACTGATTAGAAACAACGACACACTTCCTCTGTGATATCCGCTGACACGGGTTTCTGTGTGAATAAAAAGCACATGAGGCAGACCTATATCTCTTCTTCTTTTCAAGTTGAGTAGGGCGGGAAATAGCCCATATTTTTTTCCCTTCGTGTTGTGTTCTGGCGAGGTTTTACCATTTTATTTTTTGGAGCAGCTCTAAAAGCCTGACTGTGAATGATATCAGCTCAGGCGGTTGACGCAACACAGGTAATAGTATGGGTATTTTAGCTAGTTCAGTGAAAGAAAGGGGATGGGGGTTGGGAGGGGTGGGGGTGAAAAGAAAAGAAAAATGACTGACTATCTGAGCTTGTCATTGTTGTAGTGTACTTTATATTTTGCTTGTCGGTTTTATTCTACCGAAAGAACCGTTAAGTCGTGAACGAGAGTGAAAAATACAAGTGAACATAACATGATCTGTTGGGTTCAAAGCTATTGTTGCTGCCCTTTGCCACGACTTCCCTAGTTTCTTGCGATTGGTGCAGTGAGTAAACACCTAATCTACTATCGTCTTCGTCGTAATGGGTGGGCCCTTCGGCATGCACGGAAAAGTGTCCTCCAGGATTGTACCACACACCGCGTGTTGGCCATAACAGGCCAGGACAAAACAGCCCAATTCTCAATTATCTTGTCTGTGCTCAGGGTCATGTAAAATTTACGACAAAGCAAACCAAGTCCCCCCCCCCCTAAATATTTTAGTGAGCAGAATTGATCTTGTTTTCTAATGTCTAATGTTTTGAAAGCAAATGCAACTGTCCTCACTTGAAATTTCCAAACTTCTCTGCAAGGACTGGACCTATAGTAAAGTTTCGTAATTATGAAGAACCTTGCAATAAGAATTAAGGTGGACTGTGGTAAAGTTTTCATAACTGCCAAACGGGATATAACGTTTTACTTTCCTTGGAATCGTGGCGGCGAATAACATTAACGAACAGCTCATTGGAGAGCCAATGCGCCAGCCGAAAAGTCGAGTAACTTTTGTTTACTTTACATTTTACTATGGTAAGACAAGGGACCACTGTCAGTTGCACTGGGCAGCAATGAAGACACGGATAGCAATCAGGACATAATTATAAGGCTCAATCCCTTTTAGTATTCAAACGGATGTTTTCAAAAAGTGTCAAATTCCGTCTCCTACCAGCTTGCCATACCAAAAAGGGAGGAAAATCGTTTTTCCCGACTTTTTGTAGTCATATTATCTTCATGTCGATATCAAATTAAGCCCCAACCCCCCCCCCCCCCCCCCCCCCCCGGCCTCGCTAACCAAGGTAAAACTGGTCATATTATATAGATCTTCTCGTACAAGTGTAGTACCACTAGTCAGTACAACCGTAAAATTGACCACTCCCTACTGCACCCATGTGAACCCAAGTTCACCATTCTCCCTCATCAAGGTAACGTGGGAAAGCAAAAGCATTCTCATATCATGTGACCTTTACAAAGATTAACGACTCGATTAGCCTGGAGGAATTATTTGGACATGAACCACAATACATAAGACAAAAAAATCGGCTAATCCTCTGAGATATAAGCGATGGGCAGAAAGGTGAAAGAAAATATAACTAAAATCGTCCATCGTACGAAAGGAATTCAAGAAAAATTGAAGGCAAAAGAATATCTTCGTTTTGGAAATGCAAATTTCTACGATAGTTTGCTCCCTCTTGTTCTCCTTTTGTCCTATTTCGTGTAGTTCATATCGCACATTTCTGGTGCCAAAGAAAAGTTTTCATTTCGAAAGGAACGAAAGGAATTAATTAAATATCACGGCAAGTTACAGGCTCTCTGGAAGAAAACCGAAGGTTAAAAAGGGAAAAGACTGTCCCCCCGCTGCCTGCAAAATATTCTTTTGAAGTCAAATAGGTCAGATAATTATGATAGATGATATGTTTCTTCTCACACATATAAAATAAAGAAATTATATATAATATATATGAACTATTTTCATTCATTATTTTGTTAAAGTGGTTTCCGAGATGTGATGGAGGTTTGACATTTCCGAAAGTAACGATTTCTATGGTGAATTATGTGAGCCCACTACTTCGTGCTCCAAGAACAAATAATAAATACATAAATACATAAATACATAAATACACGAATAAATAAGATAAATAAATAAATAAATACACGGTTCCAATGTCAACTTGCAAAAAGCATATTGAATATACTCCTCTTTCGGTTGGCACGTTTTCCCCTCTATCCGGGGCCCTTTTAAAGACAGACTCGAAACAGCCCGGATTTTAATAATGTAGTCTGTTTCAGCTGGGACATAAAACTTTTAAAGTAAAACACAGAGTGAAGCGTTTTGAGAGAACATTACAACCGAACAAAAATCACCAGGCTATCATTTTTTAAATTACACACTTGGCAAACAAAACAAATGTCCTGTTGATTAAGTTTCAAAGCTACATTTTTTTTTATGGCGGGGGGAGGGGGGTGTATTTTGTTTTTCTTTGTCGTGCTTTCCGTCCTATAGTTTTCTGTTGAGCTCGTTCCATTTAGGATTCAGGATGTTGTGTCCGCAGTTACAAGAACCAGGAAGTGTATTTTGTCCCCATAAAAAGTTGTCTTCAAACATACCAGAGAAAGAGGAGATGGATTAACAATATGTAAGACGAGAGAAAGACGCAGAGAGAGAAAAAGAGAGAGAGGGAGAGAGAGAGAGAGAGAGAGAGAGAGAGAGAGAGAGAGAGAGAGAGAGAGAGAGAGAGAGAGAGAGAGAGAAAGAAAGAGAGAGAGAGAGAGAATGGGTGAGGGTAGATAAAAATATAGCCAAAACACTGCCTTGGCATTCTGGGTAATCTATCCTTTGGAAGTGAAATGAGGAAAGATGAACAATAATAAACATGTAATATAATTTGAATTGTCATCATAAATGGTTTTGAGAACATATAAAGAGAGAATCTAAACTTGTTAAGAGTGAACAGTATTCAATGGAGAGGAGGACAATGAGAAAGAAACAAATGCAAACTGATTTGAAACAAACAGAAAGATTGGAGTCTATAGATTATTCAAAGGGCAAAAGTAGAACTAGCCATTAAATTATCAGACTTCAAGGACCTCTCACAGTGTAGGGTGTAGGACTTCGAGAATTTGAACATGTTTTGGATTTTAAGGCCTTTGATTTAATTTGGATTAAGTTTCGACTTATTACATTTATTTCTTTACCTTCCTTTACATGGGTTCCTGGCAAGTAGCACGTCTCCTGATAACAAGGCGGTCGGTCTTTCCGTGAACCCAAGTATAGGATGCATTTACAATCCAACCATTTGACATTATTGTTGTGAAAGTATTCAACAACAATAAATCATCCCACAATTAGAGTTTCATTACGACGGTGGATAAAAAATAACGATGACAAAACATGAAGAGTTTAAAACACAGCTGGCAAAAGTAACAGTGAAAAAGACTTCATTTGAGTATGTAGATGTCTGTTTCGACTGACTAAGCAGAAGGAACACTATGAAATGGCTTTACGCAAGTGAGATTAGACACAATTCACAATAAATAAAAAGCAGATCAAAAGCAAGTTAAAGTTGAAGGAGTGTCCTTATAACGAGGGCTCTTCAACATTTTACTTCAGAATAGCCTACCAAAAGTGGTCATTTTCTGACGTGTAGGAAAAGAAATGCAAGTCTCACATACATCACAGACTCGACAACTCGGACTACTCTGATGGTCATCAATAAAGGCTAAAATGTGTCCACGATTTGTCAGCAGGTTAACTGCTAAACAGCTGAACAACTGATAGAGAGCTCAAGCAAATTCAAAAAGGGTCACGCACACATCCTTAATTAATGAAAACGCCGGAAAATTACATATCTCTCTCTCTTTCTCTCTCTCTCTCTCTCTCTCTCTCTCTCACTCTCTCACTCTCACCCACATAATTCGTCTACAGGTACAACCATTCATCACAGAACAACCCTAACATTCGAAGACATCTTCCCTACCGCGAATTCCTCGGATGTCATGTAGAACAGCGAAAAAGGGTGTGCACACATAACGTTCTGTCGAAATCGTGGTTGGTTGGCGAATGCTCTGATGTGGTATGTGCCTTTATTCCTGTCGAACATCTATCGTCCTTATATCTCTCCTCTTTTTTTGTGAGTGTTTTTGTTTATTAATCTCTTGTAACACCTCTAATCTTCGGCCCTTTTATGGCCTAAACTGTGTTGCAGGTGCCGTGAAACTCTTACAAAAAACAAAATCAAATTTGAAAGTGGTACAGTAACATTGTCTGACGTAGGAATCAGACATTAGAGAAGTTTGAGTGCGAGTTCGGTTGCAATGACGTCACAACAGACAGATTGAACCTTTCCATTTCGACTAAACGAAAACAAAAACCAACCGCAATTGTGTGCGCGCACGCTCTTATTAAACAAGCCAGAAATTCGCCGCCAAAGGGCACTCGACGCGTGAATCAGTGAGGTGATTTTTCCTCTTCAATCTCTTCCCCTCGTGCACTTCGCCGCCGCGGTTTGCCTGATCAAAAGAATCTGGCCGGGGGTATAGGGCGAGCTTCCTCCAAGCCGGTTTATGCCTCCCCTGGGATCCGCCCGTAGGCGTGATAAATCTGCGGAGTAACACAGCTAATCTCCGCGCGTCTCCCGGCCCAAATAGGAGGGGCGGTCCCAGAGCGGGGGGCGGGCCCGGCCTGTCGGCACAGCGGGCAGGACTATTAAGGAAATTACCTGTCAGGCGCACGGCCCCGTGGCCCTCCCCGATGAAAGGTCACGCCGGGCCTGAGCTGATCAGCGCTCTCGACTGCCATTGATTGAAATCAATGAAGTGCCGCTACTGGCTTCATTATCCATCACGCGAGCATCGTGCATGCACGCCCGAAAACGGCCCGATGACAAGGACGGTCGAAAACAACACATTATTATTATTATTATTAATACTATAGCCCAACTGGCACGTAGCGGGAACGGTTGAAAAGGGCCAAGTAATCAGAGAACAACCCCTTCCCTAGCACCCCGCCCCCCTCAAAAAAAGTATTTTAAAAAACCGACACTGTATCCCGATCAAAAAAGGGAGTAGTAAAAATAAAAGCCACGACGACCGAAAACAGCACAGATCAACTGGGAAGTGGATTTGAGAATGGATACCGTCGTGCATGTGATTACATTGGCCTGCTCTCTCTCTCTCTCTCTCTCTCTCTCTCTCTCTCTCTCTCTCTCTCTCTCTCTCTCTCTCTA